CAGATCAGATCCAATCAGATCAGATCCAATCAGATCAGATCATATCCAATCAGACCAGATCAGATCTAATCAGACCAGATCAGATCCAATCAGATCAGATCAGATCCAATCAGGACTTATTAAAATCAAATCTCATCAAGAATTATTATTATTATTATTATTATTATTATTATAATTACTACTACTACTACTCCGTAATATTATTATTATCATCATCATCATCTTCTTCTTCATCATCATCATCATCATCATTATTATTGTTCTCAAAAATGAAAAAAAATAAACTTTAGAAATAGGTTAAATAGATTGACAATACATTGACAATGTCAATCTAATTCTACTTTAAAATATATTTTTATTGCTACTTGTAATTTGAGTTTCTAAACTTTTGATCTTTTATAAGGATGAGATATTTTAATAAAAATACTATCTCTTCTATATATTGATTATCTAAATTCAATTAATTTTTAATGTATATCTAAATTAAATATTTATTCTAATGTATAATTCTAATTTTACAAAAAAAAATCATAAAATAATAAATAATATTACATTATAATATGAATGATTATTTTAATATATGAATTAACTATTTTTATTTTATTAAAAAATAATCATTAAATAAAATATTGATTATATTATAATATGAATTATCATTACAATTTTAAAACGTTATTATAAAGTCAAATTAAATTATTGATTTGAAATTTTAAATTAAATCATAATTAATTAGATTAGATCAGATCGGATCAGACCAGATTCAATCAGATTAGATCCAATAAGATCAGATCAGATCCAATTAGATCAGATCAGATCCAATAAGATCAGATCATATCAGACCAAATCAAATCAGAACTTATTAGAATCAGGTCAGATCAAAAAAAAATAAGTTGAACGGAACTGAGCCTAAGTCTATCATATGGTGCCAATTACTCAGCTCATAAATCATACTCCGTACTCCATGATATATCCTCCCTTGTCCAATACGCTCTTCATCATCATTTCTCACTTAATTGTCGTATTCCCATTTGTCTAACAGTTTCGTCTTCACACCAATCACACGTCCGATACGTGCCCATACTTCTTAACACTAGTTAATTAATTAATGCACCCAATGATAATTAATTAATCGACCAATAAAACAACAATCAAAATATTTTGCGTCACATAATCGCCATTAGTATAAAAATTTGCTTAGGCAACACTTTTCTCGCCTATAATATGTTCTTTTGTTTGAGTTTTAGTCATCTCCTATGTAACACAATAACACATTGATTATAAAAACATATTTGTGCATAAAAATTTCATAAAACCATGATAATTAAATATTAAATTTTAAAATAAATAATAAAATACGGAGTATTAAATTTATTTTATTATACATAGTTCAATATTTTTTGTACACATTATCATTATATTAAAAAACTTGAGCAAAAAAATGTTTATACCAGAAAAAAACTTGAGTCATACAATATAATTGAGATGTTTATGTTACGAAGTAGTCTCTCTATTCCAAAATTAACCTCATTTTTGGTAATCACACACACTACTATGCAGAAAGATGTTTATTTTTATAATTACTTACTAAAATAACAACTCTTGTTTAAAATTTTTTTAAATAAAATTTAAGTTATTTTTAGTTTGTTTTTAAAATTACACTAATGCACTCAAATATTAAAGTAAATTGTAAATAAACTAGTGAAATTATCGTATATCATAAATTAATACTCCGATGGAGTATATAATTAGGAACCTCAATTATTGGTATATACAGATGCATTCGATGGAAAGAAATCACTTGCATATTTATAAAACATATTTATGAACTCTTATCTTCAAAATAAGAGTTTATACTTGACATTGTTGCACAATAAATTGTAATTTCACAATTTCATTTAGTATTATAGGTTGACATTATTGAAATTGTACTACCTCCGTCCCGTGAAACATGAGACATTTGCTTTTAGGAGGGATTTAAGGGAGTGTATTTTGATATTGAATTTCCAAAAATGTCCTTTGATGTGATGGGTAAAAATATGATTTGATGGATAGATTATTAGTAAAAAAGTATGATGTGATAGTTAAGGTATGAAAAAGTAAGGGGTAAAAGTAACTTTTTAATAGAAATGAGAAGTGTTTTGTGGGACAGATTAAAAAAGAAAGGGGAAAGGTTTCACGGGACGGAGGGAGTAACTCATAATTTGGAGGTAGGATAAAAAACGTAGAACTCTTATTTTGATACTTTCTTCATATTTACTCATATTTTGGTATTTTTTTTCCTTCAACAGAAGTACAAGTATCTAGACATATACAAAAATTGAGTTTAGTACATCATATACTCCAAAACTCTTCATAAAGTGTATATTTTCCATTCGAACTTTTAAAAATGTACTATTAGTCCATGCACTTTTAAAAAACTGCGCGTTTTACTCTCGAACATTTAAAAATTGCATTTCTTCTTCTCTCTGAACATTCAATAGTGCACTATAAGTCCTTATATTTTTCATAAAGTGTGTGCCTTCCCATTGAACTTGCAAAGGTGTACCATAAAGTGTGTGCAAAAGGAGTATTTTTTTAAATGGTGAATGTTTAAACCATAAACATTTTGTTTGGTTCAACAACACCTTTAACCAAATTGGAATAAAAAAGAAAAAACTAATAGGATTAATGTCTTAATGATGCACTTTAACTTGAAAGTTCTGGAGAAAAACATATTTTTCAAGAGTTCGAGGGTAAAACACGTATTTTATATAAAAAAAAAAGAATATAAAGATTAATGTTACATTTTTTGAGAACTTGGATGTATGGAAAATATGCGCTTTATGAAATACTTCTTTCGTCCCTATTTTGATTACAAAATGGAAATTACGATATAAAATCCCACAATATTTGAAATTATTTTATTTATAATTTCGTACATCAATAAAAATAAAAAAATACATATTACTCCGTAAAAAACTACGTCTAAAGTTCTACAAAACAAGTGTGACAAGAATATTTTATTTTATCAAATAATCAATAAAAATACACAAATAAACAAAAATTATCGAAAAGAGAGAAAATAAAATTATAATCAAATTGGGAGGAATGGAGTATTTTTATGGTCTATGATGCAAAAAAAAAAACTCTAAAAGAAATTTAATGTTTAAAAATTAGATATCCTAACAAATTCCTAATAACAAAGAATAAAATCCCATTAATTGAGGCACGTATGTCATCATGTATTTTGTACTTTTGCGACACTTAAAAAGGAGATATTCATTGCATTAAATAAGAAGCCGATACTTAGCTTGATGTTGTCCTTTGAAAGTAACTAATTCGAGAGTGAGTCGCGTTTCACATCAAAGCGGGCCTTTTTGGGAACAGTGTTAGAGATTAGCGTTAGCGTTTTGGATAAAATTTTAACGGTGCAGATTACTTTAAAAACGCTAACGCTAAACGCTGGCCGTAGATAACTTTTTCAAAACGCTAACGCTAATCTCTAACGTTATTCCCAAACAGGCCCGCGTCTTCTGGTTTGTAGTTTTGAATTCATAAATTAATTATTCCAATCTGATTTCACAGAATTTATATATTTATTTCTATTTATTTAAGTAAGCAAGTATGATAATTATCTTAGTATCCTGGAGACTGAAAATGAAAATAAGATGATTAATTTGGTATAAAAGGAATACTTAATATAACGATTCTTTCACTTAGACCCAACCAACTCGGAACAATTATGATCAGCAGAGGAGTTAGACATGATCGAGTGAATGAAATATCACACGATGAAACTAACTGTTGTCGGTGTTGTACTTTTTATCGGAGTATTTGTTTTGAAATAAATTTCACATGAAAAGAAAACTAAATTCTTCATAATCTTTCTTCCTCATTTACATAAATCTCTACTATACATACTAGTTTTTCCTTTGCTTCATAACTTTCAAATACCCAAATTGGCATTGCTTAATTTCATTTGTATTTTTTTGTTGCTTAATTTGGCATTGCTTAATCATATAATTAATCACTTGAATAAGACACTAAAGTCGTGATAAATAGTTAAATACTACTAGTAAATACCATTTTAACATTTTGTTCTAAAATACTCTATATGTATGAGAACTGAGAAGCATTGCTTTTAAAAATTTAAAGACAAAGACAGTCAGTGAATATTGCGCAGTTGACAAGGCATGAGATGTCAAAGGATAGGATTCGAGTTCGATTATTGATAATTGTGTCGATAGGCAATTATGCTAGGATCTCTTTAAATACCATATACGGAGTACATATATACGATATTTTTTATTATTAATTTGTGATCAAAGCTTAATTTTCCTTCATAGCTTGATTGGGGTTGAGGATACCTTTTAAAAGGGAAATGCAAAACAGTGGGCCTTGTACTTCACGTGATATATGCATGTTGCGTCTAAGCTTTTTCTTTGGAGCGTAGTATAATAAAGGCTTGATTTATCAGTGGTGTTGTCGTTAATTTTACTATTTTTAATATAAAAAAAGAGTACGCGTACCCCAAAATTTGTACCTCATTTGTACACTAAAGGTACACATCAATATTTTGATGGTTCACACTAACACAAAATGTTAGTGCGTTAATAAAAAATTATACTGACACAAAGTGTTGGTGCGCTAACAAAAATTAGCATTACACCAACACAAAATGTTGGTGCGTTAACAAAAATTAGCATTACACCAACACAAAATGTTGGTGCATCCACGCGGTGCACAAAACGGGGTACAAATTAGCATTCCAATCCCTCCGTTTCTAAATGATTTACATATTATGAACATTTATATATCAATCTTTAAATACAATGAATTATAAAAAACTAAATATTTTACTTGTTTTACATAAAGAGTATATGATTTAGGGATAAAGGAAGTATTTTATATTTCTCTCGTCTAGATTTAATCTTTTCATTTGATTTTTTATTGAGAGGAGAGGAAAAAAAGATTTGTAATTAATTTTAGGACCAAAGAAGTATGTTTAGTAGAATTTAGTAGAAATTTCACAAATTTGATTAAAATTATTTGGGTGAAAACTCTTAAAAGGGGGGAAAAAGCAATGGAAATATAAAAAGAATTTTACTCCATAATAATTTTTTTAAAAAAAGCATACAATTACAAAATATGCTGTCCATTGGGCCCTCCAAACTAACCATTTCCACAAGATTATTCTTTCTCCTGATCCCGTTTCTCTTGATCTTCTCCCCCCGCGGTACAACTTTCGCTGCTCTGCGTACTACTACTACAGCTACTCCCAAACGACGCCGTTCTAATTGCCACCGCCGTCGCCAAGAACGTCGGCTTCACCTGCCCGGCCATGATTACTAACAGCTTCTCGTCGAACACCGGCGGCGCCCCGCCGCGACCGTTCCCGTCGCCGCCGGCGGCCTCGATGTCGGAGCTATCGTTGTTTTCGTTTCCGTCGTTTTCGAGGTAGCCGGAGAGCCGCCAGTAGGAGCAAGCAAGCAGTAGGAGAGCGAAAGCAATGAGACCCAACATGGCTGCCAAGCCGCCGAAGAGGTACGGCACCGGCGAGTGCCACGGCGACCGCGCCGCCGCCAGTGCCGCCGGCGGCGGCGGCGCTGCCGCACCCGCGAAACCATCAACGCTAGTCATTTTAAATTGTTGTTATAGGGATTGAATTGTTTTTAGCCTCTTGGAGAAATGGGGTGGCGGTTGCCGGCCGGCGGATGTGGCGGCGGCGGCGGCGGAGGAGGGTGGCGGGATGGAAAACGAAGAAAAAAAAGATAGGAGTATATATAGAGAGGGGATGGGCTCATGGGCATGAATGAGCTAAGAAAATGGAAAAAATTTCACTTCTCATCGAATAATGTTGGAACCAATATTCCTTAAATAGAGTACATAATCATTTCATTTTTTAACTGTCTGTTGGGTTTGTTTTTCATGCCAAACATTTAACAAACTGTGCATACTCCCTAAAGTGGCTGTTTGGCAACTTCTGAATCGGTAAGTGCTGAACCAATAAGAGGTCTGAACCATTAAGTGCTGAACCAATAAGAGGTCTGAACCATTAAGAGCTAGTATATTGCTTAACTATTCAGAGGCAAATGTCTGATCAATTCAGATAAGAGGTCTTAATCATTCAGACTCTATACAATACTTAACCATTCAAAGACAAATCTCTTAACCATTCAGACATCTGAACCATTAAGAGGCTGAAACAAACAGTCTGAACCATTAAGTGCTGAACCATTCAGACATCTGAATCATTAAGAGGCTGAAACAAACAGCCCCTAAATGTACGACTAAACGACTATATTTCTTCCCTTTTAAATACTCCTTCCGTCTCAAATGTTTTTCCTCACAATTTACGAGTTTTATTCGATTTTATTTTTTAATTCAATTTCTTTTCATTGTAGTTGTAAAATTCAAAAAAATTTATGTGTTTAAATATACACCAAAACTTTCTACAAAACAAGAGGTGAATAACTACATTATTTCATAAAATTATTAACAAGAATTGGTAAAAATGATTAAAGTTTGACCTTGTAAATATTAACTTGGAAAAAAGTTTTAGCACGGAAAGAACATTTGTTTGGCTCGACTTTTTAGAATCAAGCTGAACTAATTTTAATTACTCCCTTCATCCCAAATTAAATTGTATGTTTACTATTCACATGGTCAAATTTTATTCACTTTTTTATACCTATTTTCATTAATAGATAAAATAATATAGTCATGTCACCACTAGTTTTGTAGATCTGATCTGTTGACATAGTTTTTAAATCTATAATATTTATTTTTTAATTCTATATCATTTTTCATTTAAAATGATTTGAAGATAACTTCAATCAAACATCGTAAACTGAAACAATCAATTTAAATTAAGACGGAGGGAGTATTATATCAAATTTACATTGCATATTAATACAAATAAATAAAATTTTGAATCTTTTTACAATATACTTGTAAGACTAATGATATTATATTGTTCGTGTATCCATATACAGAGTACAATAATTTCTTTTAATTAATGATCAAAATTTCTCTATATTGATTCGATAATATTTATATTATATTGAAAAATACTTTTGATATGCTCCCACTGTTTTTTAAAACATTTTCTATTTTAATTTTTTTTCTTCAAAATACTTTCGATTTTATAAAAAAAATGACTAGTACATGATGAATTGTTTTTGCAAATGGAGGAAGTAACTTTTTAATAATTATTTTCTAATTTATTTATTTTAAGAGACAATTTTTAGTCAGATGTATAACACGAAAAAAGAAGTAGATAAGTAAAATAACATCATACTAGTATTTTATGCTGCCCATTCTCCATTTTGATTACAATTTTTTCTCTCTTCTCGATAATTTTTATTTATTTACGCGATTTCATTAAGTATTTGATAAAATAAAATATTCTTGTCACCTCTTGTTTTGTAGAATTTTCGACGAAGTAGTTTTTTAATATATAAATAGAAGGACTTAATATTACTGTCGAACAGCTTGCAAATTACTATTTCGAGATTTGAAAATAATACACACACTATTTGTGACAAAATAAATGCAATACTAGTTTCATGTAAAAGTTAATCTCTTTGTCTCATATATTTCTTCGGCCCGGTTTCATGGCCACTGGATTCCAGTGGCCACGGAAGCCAGTGCAGTGGACATGGAACCAGGTCGATCTTTCTTTCAATTTTACTTTTTACGTTTTGCAATGCAACAATTTGATCTTTATTTATATTAAAACATAGACTAAAAAATATGATATTTCAAAACGAAGTTTCAGAAAAAATCTATTGATATTATTTTATATCAGAATTCAATATAATTTTTTGTCAAAATCTTGTCGATCCAAACGAAACAAGACATTACAGGGATAGGATCGGGATATTTCAAAACGAGAAAACGTATCGGGACTAGAATTCTTGCCTACCCCTAAAATCAATATATAATTATCAGATTGTAGCAATTGCGTGGTAGGGTAACAGTTTTAACTTCGTTTAGCTTTATCGTTTTAAAAATCGATCTAGACATCGTTGAAAAATCTAAATACTCGAAATTAAAGCGCAAATTTTAATTAATTAAAATGTTGTTCCCAACCAACACCAATTAATTATTAACATGTCTCCATTTTTTTTACTTGTTGATAGACTATTAACGTGATGATGATGATTATATCTATTGTGCATTATTGGTGTTCCATAAATGCATGGAGTTCTCTTTGGTCACTCCTTCCTCGAGCATGACTCAAAGCGTGATCTTTTATCCTTTTTTGCCCTCCCCACACCTGAAATAAATGAAAGCCCAAAATTTGCATTTATTTACTCCATGTTCATAAATAAAGTTCCATTGCACGTTATGATATTTGGCTGAGTTTATTTTCAAATCATTTTATATGAAAAATTGTATGGAATTAAAAATAAAAATTAATTAAATATTAAAAAACTACATGAAAAGATTTACAAAATTAGACTTGATATGACTACATAATTTTATAAAATAAGACACGAAAATAGATTAACAAAGTAAATAAAATTTAATCATGTGAATTGTAAACGAGAATTTTATTATTGAAGGGGGTAGTATTGATTAAAAATGGGTTGATATATATAATGTGATTGTAACGTTTTTTTTCCTGCTAGATGGCCGAAAACGTGACTAATACGTAATTGAAAACTTGTACAGTAGTTTCTAAAATCCGTACGTAGCGAGTTATTTATAGCAAACTGTAACCAAAGAGGAAAACTACTATGACATCATCCCTCACATTACTTTCATCTTAAATTAATTTTTTCGTTTGGAATAACAAAATCTTATTTTTAAAATGATTTTATTTATAAATAATTGCGATACATAAAGTATCATTAATACTCCGTACTAGATGTCATGGACATACTCCGTATAAAAAACAATAACATACCCGTCCCCGCCACCAAAATATATATTTTTATATCCTCCGTCCTTAAAAACCTATCTCAATTTTTTATCCATTCAAAAAAAAATTTTTCAGTTTTATTAAAAAGTCATGTTTACTCTTACTAATTCTTAACATATCTATCAAATCACACCTATTCACTATTAATCTATCCATCAAATTAAATTCTACTTTTACTCATCATATCAAAAGATATTTTAAAAAACTCAACACCAAAATACGTTTTTTTTAAATCCTTTAAAAATCAAAATTAAACCTCCATGTTTGGAGTCAAAATACTTTAGTCTTTCTTCCTTCACAATATTTACCAAGGAAAAAGTTTGGAGTCAATAATATACGTAATACAACAATTTTTTAACCAAAGTTCTATTTAAAAAATTCCTCTATATAGGGAATCAATCATTGGCAAAACCGGAACGCCGGAGTATATAGTACCGGAACCACTTCTACACGGTACTACCGGTTACGGAACCGATACCAGACCCGATATCCATCACTGTGTCTTACCCTAATTATGTTATGATATACTCCTATATACTTCCTCTCTTGGAAAAATTAGTGTTTCCTAAGTCCTAAATTTAGTCATCTACATTATCTCTAATGCGGCGAGCAGAAATGGCGATGACCCACTAATTATAAAATGAGTGCGGACACTTTATGGAAACAGACCCAAACAGTGCACCATATTACTCAGTATTATGTATGCTAGCACTACACTTTATTGAGTGCGGTTTTGTTAACTCTCTAGTAGAGTTTGACTTTTTCAAGTCAATCTGGATTATGGATGTATTTTAATCATTAATTACTTTTAATTTTTATTAAATGTTTGATATAAAAATTTATATATTTAATACTCTCTCCGTCCCAGAAAATATGAGAGTTTTGGTTTTGGAGAGGGATTTAAGGGGAGTGTCTTTTGGTATTGAATTTCCAAAAATGTTCTTTGATGTGATGGGTAAAAGTATGATTTGATGAATATATTATTAGTAAAAAGGTATGATGTGATAGGTAGGGTATGAAAAGGTAAGGGGTAAAAGTGATTTTTTAATATAAATGAGAAGTGTTTTTTGGGACGGATGAAAAAAGAAAGGAGAAAGGTTTTCTGGGATGGAGGGAGTAGTTCTGAACAAGATAAATCTATTGATATATTTTTTATACTAAAATATATTACCATTTTTATTTAATCGAGAATTAAAGGTCGTTCATTTTGAATTGAAAAGATCAAACTAGACAAACACACTAAGACGAAATTAGTACTATAAACAAAAAATAGTTGTATCAAAGTACAACACGTACATAATAATTAGCTGAATAGTGTTGGTAGAATAACTTAAATGCTAAATAAGAGGGTAATCTAAATGATAATGTGACATATACAAATCTCACTTACATGTTTGTCACACAAAAATTCTAAATGACTTTATAATGTTAAGAGGTTTATACTTTGTTTTTTTCGCTAAATCAAGTTTGATTACTTAACCAGATGGTATTGGTCACAGTACACAATACTAATCATTTTTGACTTGAGAGCAACTTTTTGAAATAATGTTATTACCTAATTTGGATCTAAATTGGCTCCAAAATCAAAATTAATTTGGGATGTGCGATTAAATGGGGGGTGGGGAGAGGGTGTGTGTATTCGGATCGGGACATGGGGGTTTACCGGGAGGTTAGAGGGGTAG